GGCAGGACTGCTGACAAAAAGGTCGGCAATTCAAATCCGGGGAGTGGGGTGAGCTCCCATCTGTCAGCTCCAACTTCTCATGTGGGGACATGAGAGAAGCCTACCATGGGGTGATAAAACATCTGGGCATCCCCCTGGGCAACATCCTTGCAAACAGCCAATTCTCTCACACCAGAAGCCACTTGCAGTTTCTCAAGCTGCTCCTAACACACACACACACACACACACACACACAAAAATCCCGTTTGGATGCCTGTCATGTGCTCTGCACTGAGCTGCCTTTGGGAACTTTGGGAGTTCTTAGAAACAGTCGGGCTGCCTGGCAGGGAATTGTCGACGGCTGCACAGTCCTTTGAGGGGGGTCTCTCTCACCACCAGCAGATGCAACAGTGCTGGAATGACCAGTATCCACCCATCCAATGCGCTGTTTTTGCCACAAGACTAGCACAACATAAAGCACTGTTTACCACACCCTACCAGAATCATAGAATCATAGAATCAAAGAGTTGGAAGAGACCTCATGGGCCATCCAGTCCAACCCCCTGCCAAGAAGCAGGAATATTGCATTCAAATCACCCCTGACAGATGGCCATCCAGCCTCTGTTTAAAAGCTTCCAAAGAAGGAGCCTCCACCACACTCCGGGGCAGAGAGTTCCACTGCTGAACGGCTCTCACAGTCAGGAAGTTCTTCCTCATGTTCAGATGGAATCTCCTCTCTTGTAGTTTGAAGCCATTGTTCCGCGTCCTAGTCTCCAGGGAAGCAGAAAACAAGCTTGCTCCCTCCTCCCTGTGGCTTCCTCTCACATATTTATACAGTCAACGGACATGGCTCCCGATCGGCTGACCCTGTTCCTTCTCAGTTGCCGTGGTTGCACAGGGGCAGCGGTAGCACAGCGGGTTAAACTGCTAGCTGCAGGAAAGCTGATAACCCAAAGGTTGGCAGTTTTAAACCACAAGCCAGGCTCAGTACCCGACTGTCAGCTCTAGTTTCTGCCAACCTAGCAGTTTGAAAGCATGCAATACTAGTAGATCAATAGGTACCACCTCAGCGGTAAAAGAGTGCCCTATGCAGACATGCTGGCAACACAATTGGAGATGTCTATGGACAAGAGGCTCCTCAGCATGGAAAAATGGAACAAGAGCGCCTCCCCATTGCTGGAGTTGAGCATTGCCTCCAGACGCCAGAGATGGAAAACAGGGAAGGTCTTTACCGTTGTCTGTGTTGTATGTCATCATTCACTATGTGTGCAAGGCACTGAATGTTTGCCTCATATGTGTATTGTAATCTGCTCGGAGTCCCTCCAGGGAGATAAAGCAGACTATAAATAAAGTGTATTATTATTGTATTATCGAAGGCTTTCATGGCCAGAATCACTGAGTTGTTGTAGGTTTTTCAGGCTCTATGGCCATGTTCTAGAAGCACTCTCTCCTGACATTTTGACATTTTGCCTCCAACTATGGCAGGCATCCTCAGAGGTTATGAGGTCTGTTGAAAGCTAGGAATATATATATATATATATATATATACACACACACACACATACATACATATATATGTGTGTGTGTGTGTGTGTGTGTATGTGTGTGTCTGTTTATATATCTGTGAAATGTCCAGGGTGGGAGAAAGAACTCTTGTCTGTTGGAGCAAGTTATGAACGTTTCAATTGGCCACCTTGATTAGCATTTGATGGCCTGACAGTTTTTAGGTAGCACATTCAAGCACAGGAGTTTGAGCTTCTGGAAATTACTTATTTTATTTTTAAAGGGATCAGTTACTTTCCACGGAATTCTCAATTATTATTATTTCTGCCTTCTCCAGAAAGTTAACTCAACAAAACACTCATTACCAAATTATCGCTCTTGTTGTTACTATGGTGGCATTGACAAATATGGCTAAATACTCTCTATTTCTCTCAAGTGGCCAACTCAAAAATGGCCGATTGAAAATGATAGGAAAAGCGCAAAAGGCATTTCAAAGTCATGTTTCCCTGCCTCGTACTAGGGTTTCATGGACGCACCTTTCCTATTCCTACCTAAAGGTGCTAGGATTGTTTCTGGGACTTCCTGCATGCCACACACACACACAAACATATATTGCCATTTCAGAATGCAGATGAATTGCATGGAACTGGATTATGTGAGTTTACCCTGCATCGTATGTGTTGGAAATAGCAACCTTCTACAAACCTCCTATACTAGTTATTTGTTATGTATATAATTCAGATTGCTTGCAATATTGTATATGTGTATATTGATGTGCAGTTTTCACTTAACTCTGTGTTGTTTGAGATTGTGGAAGGGACTGTAGACCATGTGATCAGATCTGGGACTATTCAGACTGAGACTCCATTTTAGAAGTCAATATTGTTTTGAATAGTTAGTTGTGTTTAGGTTGTCTTCAGTTTTGCATTAAGAGAGTATGCATTAGACATAAAACATAGAAGAGATTGCAACAGAATGCCTTAGAGAACCTACTGGTTAAACTTTCAATTGATAACCAATGAACCTGTATGCTGGATACATGAAGTTTGTATGTAAACCAAATATCTTACTTTTAATGAAGACTACTTATTTTTGTCTCTTGAGATCATGATTTAAAACCAAGTATATTTTATGGGAGAGTAGATGTTTTAGGCAACTGAAATAACACTTCTGAAGATTTGCTTTATATTTTGTGCATTGGCATAATCTTTGTTCCTAACAGTTCAAAGAGATTACCAGGTATATCAGTCTAACAACTGAGAAACCTAAGTGCCATTATACAATTAACAAAGTCAGACAGTACATAAACCGAGGTAAAGGCTTATCATTTTTTCCCATCTTTGGCATCTGGAGGCTGTGCTTGACTCCAGCCATGGGGAAGTGCTGTTGCTCCATGTCTGCATGGGCATGTTTTATTACCTCCTCACCAAAATGGTATTTATTTATCTACTCACATTGCTGTTTTCGAACTGCTAGGTAAGCAGAAGCTGGGCTGACACCCCAGCCCAGGCTTGAACTGCCCTACCTTTAAATCGGCAAGATTTTGTGAAGCAGATATATACCACTAAAGAAAAGATGAACTCAACCAAGGAAAAGGGTTATGATCATTTCAAATGGTAATGAATGCCAATTAATCTCCAAAAGGTCAAGCTTCCAAAGGGCTTTGGAGATTCTGGTTTTCCAAAAGGTTATGATCTCAAAGGTCATCCTTTCCCCCAAAATATGGCAGTGTAGATCCAGCAACAGAGACATGCAATAAAAGAAACAGACCAGTGATTCTACTGCACTCCTAAAGCTTCCTCCTCATAGCCCTCCAAAGTGAAAAACGGATGGCTTTCTGCGACATCATGAGGCCCAGCCCTACATTGAAGCAGAAGGGTTTGCTTAGGTGGCAAAGGCCAAGTGATTGCAGAAATATGTTGAAAGAGAGTCCCATCTGGTGTGCCCTGTGCCCCCGCCATTGGCTCACAGACTTCAGGTCCAGTGGAGGACATACACCTCATTGCAGCAATGGCAGGAAAGACAGCTGCCGGTTGAGTTTCATCTGCACACAATACAGTTGTGGAGATGGGGCCACCCTGTGGTTCACCCTATGAAGGAGAAGACTGCCTGGGGAACACAGCGGCTTCTTGGAACAGAGGCTGGAAAAGGACAGGGACCTTGGGAAATGCAGAGCAGCCCTTCAGCATGGGATTTCTCCCTCTGGACACAGCAAGAGGTCACCAGCCTTCTTCCTCTGCTAACTTCACACTCCATTTGCTGGGAAACAGAGTGTCTAGCCTTGTCTCCCTAAGGAAAGGGTCAGCTGACGACAAACGACATTCCTATGGCTATACAACTAAAAAAAAACTCACAACAAACCAATGATTCCAGCCATGAAAGCCTTCAACAAAACATTCCTATTGCCATAAACTTGCCAGTTTCCTGCAGGAAGAACTCTGTAGCAGGAGTTTCTCTCCAATTCCCATCCGGGATGAATTATTGGCTCTCTTCTTGGATTTCCAGGGCGAGCAGCAGCTTTTACAGGAGGCACCTTATTTTCCCTCCATGGAAGCAGTGTGCCAGCAAACATCAACCTGAGACTGGTGCCAGGCCCTTTGCTATTGAGGACTTCATGCATACGGCAACTACTCAGTCTGTTCATTGGCTCCAGAAGCGGAGAGGCAAAGGGTCACCACTTCTGCACAGAGAATCATTGGTTGCCCTCTTTCTCCCCTCTCTGGAAGGACTTTATAGGTCCCCTGCAGCCTTAAGAAAACTCAGAGCATTCTTAAGGACCCATCTCACCCTGGATATCCTCTTTTTCTTTTCTTTTCTTTTTTAATTATTACCATCTGGCTGATGGTACAGGGTGACAAAGGCAAGGACAAACAGACCGAGAGATAGCCTTTATCCTAGGGCTGTGAATATATCGAACTCCATGGTTTCACATTAATGTGGCACTGAGAGCTGTGCAGTGGGAGTGGGAGTGTGGAGGGATGGGGATATTGTTTTGTGATATGTGCTGGGGAAGGCATTTAATTTTGTTGTACAATGTACAATGATAATAAAGTTATCTAGATTATGTACTTTGCCAAGACTGAACACTTTGGTCAAAGTCCTGAAATATTGGAAAGGTGAGACATCAGCCATGAAACAACCATCACTTCCCTATCTCACAAGAGTGGGTGCAATTGCATTGATCAAAGGAGAATTAGAATGCGGGTTACGGAGATCTGTGGTTTCCTAGTGGTGCCTCTCATTTATCCCTCTCAATCATCGCATAATGCTGCCTTTCTATTTTTTCCTCCTTAAGTGTGAGAGGAAGGATAATTAATCTCTCCTAAACTATGCGTGCTTTTATACACTCTACAACTGCAGCTCCCATCATCCCTGGCCAATGGTGAAGGATGCTAGGAGCCAGGATCAACAAACTGCATTGGGAGAGTCTGATAAATAAATCCCCAATTGGCCACTCCTGTCTTCTTTTGCTTCCCGATGGCCAGACTATTTGTCCCCCAAGGATCTTCAAGACTTACCTGTATATATGCCATCTTCAGCAGGTTTCCTATCAGTCCTTGGTGTGTTTTGACCATGGCACCTTTCATTTTTGCTCTCGACCACCAACATCGGCGTGCTTGATTTGTTCAATAAGGTGGGCCATCCCTTCTTGTCTCCCATCCTCTCTCCTTCTTTCTCGGCAGCTTGGTGTCCTTTCCCGTTGGCTCTTCTTGCTGGAAAGAGCTCTGCTTTGGGGTCCGTCCCTCCGATCCTCATTGCATGCTGTGCGGATGGCTTTCTCTACTGGAAAGGATGGACTTTTTTTCCAGCTTGTCACTTGACATGTGATTTATGAACACACACACACATGCACGTTTTCTTTCTTATGTTTGGCAAGCAGTAAAGTTCTCCCAGTTTAGTTATGCAGAAGCAAGTGCATTTTTAGTTACTTGGATCCTTTTCTTTCAGTACATCTTTGCTTGAAATGTGCATGTGTTTTTTTGGCCGGGGGGGGGGGGGGYTATCATTTTCAAACCCAATGATGTTATCTGGAGGAAGCATCTCCTGGAAGCGGAAACATCCATCTGTTTGTTGGCAGTAGGAGAAGTTGCCAAAGAGCAACACGTGGGAGAGCCAATGCATCGAGGGAGAAGGCTTTCGAGGTGGAGGAAAGGGAATTTATTATAAATTAAACAAGAAGTACATAATACCCTTACAGCAAATTCTCACAATTAATACATGGAGAATGACCTGGCCTGGGCAGAGGAAATACCAGACAGTTGGCATTCAGCCTTATCAAGTCCAATAAAGAGAAGTATTGTAGAAAAGAACCAGAGGTTGATAGTTATCTGATACTTGAGATGCTCTCTGGCAGAATATTGGAAACATTGGTGTTGTAGCTCGGCAGCAGTCACAGCAGCCAAAGGCTGATGGGTTCACTGATGACTTAGAGTTGGAAGGGATTGTGTGCTTTCCTAGGATTCATAGTGATACAGACCAAGGGAATGATACAGGCCAAGAAAACAAAACTTCTTCAGATAGTGATGTGGGCCCAAAGAATATAATTACCTCTGAGCCTCAAGGTCACTCACAGGAGTTGGAATCATCCTCCCTAGATAAGGGGTTGAGCAAAGACAAATTGACAGGAAGCTCTCATGGGAAAGCACCTGGTGATATAGACCTGAGCAAGGAATCATGCTGGCAAATTAGGGCAGATAGCTAGCTTCATAGATCAACACGACTTAGTGGGAAATAGAAATTTTATGGCAGACGTAATGATTTCATGTCTGTTTATTAAGAGCTAACATACACAATGACTTCAGTCCAGGCAACGTAGCATTCAAGTTAGAAGCTAGGCCCGAGTTCTCTGGTTCATGTTTCAAACCTTGGTCTTGGATTTAAGTATCCTGGGAGTTTTTCCAAGTTCTTGTCTTGTATTCCTGTTTCAGTTTTGCTAAGCATATCTTCTGCCTGTGGACTTAAGCTAACTTTGTGTTTTGGGACTACTATTGGACTGTGTTATCTTTGGATTTATAAGAGACAATTAATTTCCTGTTTGGTTATCATCTATTGCTGACCCTTTTGGATTATACACCTTATATCTTAATACCTGATTGTTCCATATACCTTTTATGTGTTGTTTTTTTGTTTTGTTTTTTACAATAAACGGTTTGCTTATACTCAGGACTCTTGTGTGGTGCTGTGGTCATCAGTGGGGTGCAACTACTGATTTTTGTGAACTGCGATTCCCAGACTCCCCCATCACATGCTGGCTACAGAACCATGGCCATCGCATTGTATGGTCTATGTGGAACTGAAAGGGTGAATACAGGTTGCATGTAGGTTTTGTCAGTGTAAAATTAATGTATAGTGTATGTTTAAATGTAATTTTATGTACAATGGCTGTGATTGTAACAGGATTGTATTGCCAGAGAGTATTCTGCTACAGAAAGGGTTAAACAGTAGAGTTAATAAGCTGTGAAGATGTGACCCTGAGCGTTACCTTGAGCGAGTAGGGAGGATACAGAGATAAGTCCTTATAGCTTCAGTGAGTGTGTTCATCCTTCCTTCTTGTTCCTGTCTGTCTACTGATGGTGTATACTGTATGTGTGAGCTGCTTAGTCTGTTTGTTTTTGTTGAAAATGTAATACAAATGTCTGGTTGCTGATGACACGATAAATAAAAATAAAATAAGTAAAGCTAAATATCTGTTTTATACTGAAGTGTCAAGCATCCATTTCTTCAGAGCTTCAAAAGCTGCTACAGCACTCTGATAGGTTTGAGAGGGTGAAGATGTTCAGCTGAGGAAGGGTATAGGGGAGCTTTCTTGGCACCCCTTGTGACCGGTCAGTGATTATATGGGCCAGGAGAACAGAGCTACATCCATCATTGCCCAGCTGTCATTTTTCAGTAATGCATAATAAGACGATACTGAGTCATATTCAATATCGCTTTGCACAACATCTCTAAAAATACTTATACTTGGACAACCCAAAACGAGTGAATGCAGAGTGGGCATGCTCAGTGCCTGTGGCGCATGAACGGTTGAAGGAGTGGGAATAGGAATAGAATAGCATAGAAAGAGCCAAGCTGCTGTTTTCCTTATGTATGGACTATAGTGCCAACTCCTAGCGTATTCAAATTTAGAGTCCAGACCACGGATAAGAGAATCCATGCCCGGCGAGCATTCAGTTTAAACCAAAATAGACCAGGACAGAGACATCACTCGCCAGGCTGCAGACAAGCCACAGAGGTATAGTTGATCTGGCTAGAAAGGATACAGCATAAAGCAGGAATACAGAGACACGAGGTTTTATACATTTCATAGCCATTCAAATCTCCTGCTCCCTTCCCTGATTGGCCAAGAAAGGGGTTGGTTTGGATCCGCACCTGTGTCAATATTTGGAAATGCTAATGAGTTTCCAATTGGTTTAATTGTCCACTTCCAGGTGATGGGGAAATGTTTTGAGGAAAACAAAAGGTGAGATATCCCAGGGACAAAAGGTGAAGATCTCTTGAATCAAGCCTTGGATTTGAAATAAAGAAATCCACAAATATATCTCTTCCAAGCTCCTGTTTCTGCAGTAAGCAATATCTCAGCCCAAGTGAGATTCTCGGCTGGGCAAACATCAGCTTAATACCCTTGGGTGCTATTCATCTGGTCCTGGAGACCTGAATTTATTTATTTAGACTAGCCAGGGGCCACAGCTAGCACAGTGGGTTAAACCGCCAGCTGCAGAAAATCTTGTTCAAAGCCACGGGTTGGGATGAGCTCCTGCCATCAGCCCTAGCTTCTGCTTACCTAGAAGTTTGAAAACAGTAATGTGCGTAGATCAATAGGTACTGCTTTGGCGGGAAGGTAAAGGCATCCATGAAGACGTGCCAGCAATTTGATCAGGAAGGCATCCATGGACAATAGGCTCCTTGGTATGGAAAATGGAACAACAGTACCTCCTCATGGCCAAGCTGAGCACAGCCTGTTGAGCGCTGTTACACTGTTGGGAGAAAGAAAACTGAGGCAAATAAAATATTGGGTGGTTAGGATCCATCAGCTTCTTTTTCTCTTGCTCTAGTTGCATAACTGGGTCTCATCAAGCACAATACATTAAGCCCAAATACATGAAACTATTACAATAGGAAAAATATTGTTTTTCGGGTAGAAAATTTAAGTTTCCCAAGCTCTGACTGAACAGAAAAGGTAAGAAACAGCTTTTCCCACCAGTTTTTTTTTTAAAAAAATTGCACTGATTTTAATAATCTGTGGGAGCTGTAGAGCAGCCACATAAACTTTTCAATGTTAAAGAAAATATTTTCAAACTCTATTTTTAATGGGTAACCTTTAATAAACAGTGGCCCTCTTTACCTGCCTTTTTGTTTAAGGCTGTGGAATCATCCCTCAATCTCAAAATGACAATCATCATCATCATCATCATCATCACCACCATTATTATCATGCTGTTGTGTTGTCAAAGGCTTTAATGGTCAGAATCACTGTGTTTCTGTGAGTTTTCTGGGCTGTATGGCCATGTTCCAGAAGCATTATCTCCTGATGTTTCACCCACATCTATGGCAGGCATCCTCAGAGGTTGTGAGATTTGTTAAAAACAAGGCAAGTGGGGTTTATATATCTGGGGAGTGTCCAGGGTGGGAGAAAGAACTCTTGTCTGTTTGAGACAAATGTGAATGTTGCAATCAATCACCTTGATTAGCATTAAATAGCCTTGCATCTTCTAGGCTTGGCTGCTTCCTGCCTGCGGGAACCCTTTCTTGGGAGGTGATTAGCTGGCCCTGATTATCATTCTAGCAATAATCACCAAAGAGACGCCAGTGGAAGATGCCAATAATGCTATTCTATTGGCTATTCATATTTTCTTTTTAACATGTTTGAACACAATACTCTTTTATGCACCACATTCTTGTACAGTCAACAATCTCTTTATATTCAGCTGTTAAGTTCTTCCTGGCATAGATATCCCACTTCCTGGATAAACTCAAAGGATCTAAGAGGAAATGAATCATGTTCTTTCTCTCCTGAGAGTTGTGTCGCCGCTGTTCAATATATCTTGCTAGCGGCTGCTTTTGGGTGTGTGTGTGTATTTTAAAAGGTTATTGCTTTTAAATTCAAGATATATATCTTTTTAAAAAAGCAATATGTGTTTAAGAAAACATCCTCAAACTAGGTTGCTGTGAGTTTTTCGGGTTGTATGGCCACTGGCCTCATTTCCAACAGACCTCTGAAGATCCCATTAGCCACAGATGCAGGTGAAACATCAGGAGAGAATGCTACTGGATCATGGTCATACAGCCCCAAAAATGCACAGCAACCCAGTGATTCCAGCCACGAAAGCCTTCAACAACACACCATCAAAAAGAATGAAGAATGGTTCGGCAGCCTTTGGCCAGCTTGGCATTTCGCTTTCCTTGGAGTTGATGGTCACTGCTTGAATCACAGAATTATCAAGTTGGAAGGGACCACATGAGGTCATCTAGTCCAGCCCCAACCTGCCTTACAGGAAGCAGAATCACAGTTTGATAACAGATGGCTTTGCCATTTATGGCTCTGTTGAGAAGTCAGTCATAGCTATGATTCACTCCAAGACATCCTTCCATGGATGGCAACGTGGGAAGCATCTTCCATCTGCAAGGATTCAGCTGCCAGTGACAGGCTTTTACAAAGGGCCTTTCAAATAGGACCAATGTGTCAAAACAGGTCTTTCGGTCTAAGATGGAGCTGTTGTTGGGTTGCTGTGAGTTTTCAGTGCTGTATGGTCGTGTTCCAGAAACATTCTCTCCTAGCGTGTTGCTCACATCTGTGGCAAGCATCCACAAAGGTTGTGAGGTTTTCTGGAAACAAGGCAAGTAGGGTTTATATATCTGTGAAATGTTCAGGGTGGGAGAAAGAACTCTTGTTTGTTTGAGGCAAGTGTGAATACTGCAATTG